AATTTCATCCTTAACCTAACACCCAACATCATACTAAAAAGTTACGGAGCAGTTACTCTTATTACAGGTGCACCTTAAAAGCACTTATTTTAAAGACCACTGGGCTGCTGTAGCTTTCATGAATTGGCTCTGTTGTTAAATATTTTTAACTGATCCATGTGTATATAGGCTGTCTTTTAACTTTATGCTTAACAATAAATAGCACACTAGGGAAAACCAGACTCTCACAAGCTGAAACTATGGAACTCCGAATTAAAACTAGCAATAAATGTCTGACATTTGAACTGTAACCCCTGAAAAGCTGCAGGGTGTTTGTTATATCAACTCCTTAGTCATGCTTTAGATTTGAGTAACTCTTCAAATCTTGTTAATGGTTGTAAAGTAATTAGCTCTAAATGCTAATTGAAAATTTTATTAAACAATCTAGATGTTTGACCTGCATTATTCAATGTGAACTGAAATTGGAAAGTTTAATGGTAAGGAAAAGGCATTTGATTGGCCAAAGATATTGCTAGTTCATGACTGAATGTGCACTAATGCCCACTACTAACCTGTCACCATAACGCCGCTTGCTTACATTCCGATTAATATAGCATGCAAAAAGAATGGCTCTTCTATTTTATGCTTGCCCTAAATTTAACAAATACTAAATGCATTCAAGACTAGAATGTAGTTCATGTTTTGCATCACTAATGTCTCATGTCTTATTTTACTTTTTTATTTAATGGGAATCATAACATAAATGGGTTTTATCTCTATTCTGTGTTGTATTTGAAGCAGCTGTGCCTTTTTACTATTGTTTTTCTGTTGTAGCAAAAAAAAAAATCTTACCCCATTATCCTCCTGTTAACGGTCACCCTCCCTTTTCTAGTCCATCCTTCACAATGAAGTAGTGATGAGGAGCGCTCCTGTCCCATGCCTTCCCCTGGAGGTTATGACACAGTCTAACATGATTCTGCAAAAAAGCTCTTGGAATACTAAACCACTAGTGCAAATTCAATAGTACTAAATTTGTAGAAAGTGTAAGATGCTAAGTGTGTAAATGCTTCCAAGGCCCCTGCCATTTAAAAAAAACTTTGTTCATCCCTGCAGTCTGAATTTTAAAAGGTATAAAATACTAAGATGGATTTGGAATGTCTTTAATTGTAACTTGCAGTGTTGTAAACGTATTGGTTCCAGGATATGAGAGACAAGATGGGTTAGGTAATATCTTTCATTGAACCAACTTTTGTTGGTGAAAGACGCTTTCAAGCTACACAGAGCTCTTCTTCAGGTGTGGGAAAGAAGACCTCTGTGTAGCTCAAAAGCTTGTCTCTCTCACCAACAGAAGTTGGTCCAATAAAAGATATTACATCATCCACCTTGTCTCTTTACTGGCATTTGAGTCTAGTATGTAATGCTTGTGGTGATGGCAGTATAAGAACGTGTATGAGTTACTAAGTCTTGTTCTAAAATTTGGAAGGTTTTTATTGTACCTTTATTATCCTTATTCCTAACAGTTTAGGAGCTTTGGAATTAAGGATTAAAAAGGTACAATTTCACTTATCGCTGAAATTCAGCCACTTTATGGATGGTGTATATTTTGGGTTTTTTCTCAACACCATAGTACAAAAATTAGAGAAGGAAATGCATAACTTACTGGTTGAATCTACACAGTGAATTTAAGTAAGATGAAAGTTATGTAAATTGGAATCCTATTACAGAAAGGGCCATGGGATCTTATGACTTCATGTGGTAAGGACCTGATTAAGCGTTCTGCAAAAAGCTATCCGCATAGGGCCTTTGAGGTATTGATTCAGGGACTCCACCTACAAAGACAGCAACATCACTGCAGTCACTTGGATTTTCCAGGCCGTTTTTTCCTACCACCCTTGAGCAAAGATTGACATAAATTTGATTTGTTGCTAAAGTGGGGAAGGAGCAGGAGTTCTCCTCCTAAATTCTAATTCCACCTCTGCCACTGACAATCCCTGGGCCCAGATCTTCCATTTATGCATTTGTAAAACGAATAATACTTACTCATTGTTTTCTGTTTGAGGCTTAGTGTTTGTATCTTCGAGCTCCTCAAGGGGGTTTAAAATTGCCTCTCTGAGCCAGAGGAATAAATAACTGATCTGTGTCTCGAGAAGCTGAAGTGTATGTGGCATATTATGAACACTTGGTTACTTTCCGAAACACTGAGGTGAAAGCTTTCATTCAAATGGTTAGCTGTTCTTCCTGGCTTTCTGCCCTTTTCCTACCACCACCAGAACTGCAAGATTGAGATCCCCTCTGTCACTTTCTAGATACTTCTACCAGAAAGGGCCAATACAAAACTCTCCCGTCAGTGATCAAACACAAACTACAAGATGTTCCCTACCTGGCCAGGGGAAAGAAGCTGAACCCAACCCTTTCTTGGGACCATTTGTGTTGATTTTAAATAGTTTCTTCTTCTTCTACCTGTAATAGACACCTCCCCTGGATATCATACATGTTTGTTACTTAACAAGTAATGGGGAGATATTTGACTAATACTCTTTATTCTGGTTTCCTCCAGAGTGGGTGTCTACAGCAGAAGCTGGGAATCTTACAAGGCAGTGTAGTTTGACACTGAAATGTTCAGTTCTTTTTTTTAGCTTGTTTCTGTCAGGCAGGTGACGATGGGGGTGGCTGGGAGGAGCTACCCGAACCTCATTCCATTTTTCTGAAGTGGCTTGTGTGTGCATATGCAGGCCCTGAACTTGCAAAGCCTCTGTTAAACTGTTGTCCTATCTGGATCTGTTCCTTTCCCTTTGTTTATAAGGAAATATACCTGAGATCTAATGAGTGTCCAGACACTGTACACTTTACATTTTTCTGCTTTTTTTGTAGACTCCAATTCCAATGTTCAAGAACCACTTAGGCGCCTCTCTTCAGAGCTTCCTACAGAGTCTGCAAGCAAGGAATTGCACAACCATCTAATGCTTAATGTTGACAATGATACAGAAAGCACTGCTTTGTAAAAGAAACCAAATACTCCAAAACTTTTTAAAAAACCTTTCTGTCCACATGGAAAAGTAGCAAATCAAGACCTAACAGTGAAAAGCTTTTTTGAAGATATGGCGGAACTGTCTGAAGGCTCTACTTACATGTAAGGCAATTTAACCATACAGAAGAAGTTTAATGATCTGTGTCTTGACAGTGGTTTCAGAAATCCTGGATGGGAAGAGTTGATTACTGTGGAAATTTACATAGGAAGCGTAATAGCTGCTAATACCCATGCATTAGCAGAACCCCCAACAGAATAAAAAGCAGTGCCTCAGTTACTATTTAACGTGCATGTATGGAAATAACCTACTTAATGTCACTGTTACTTCTGTTCCTAGTTCTTAGACATTATATTAAAACGGAGATGCCTTGCAAGAGACTTTCCCTCACTGACTTGCTGCAGACTTTTGTTAAAGTATGAACCAAAAAATGCCAGAGTGCTGGTGGTGACTGCTGGTTATCAGTCACCTGTCAAAACTGTGGATGTATTTCAGTGCCTTGAAGGACTGTCATATCGTAGAAAGAAACTTACTGTATCTTTAACCATTTTATTGCTACTTTAAGTACTGACCATTATCTGTATGTCATAGTTATGTGTATTCACCATACCTGCTTTTTATGTGAAATTCATGACGGTTTCAAGGTGAAACGGTGGAAATGTTTATGCTTTCGTTTAAATTGGTTGAATTTTGAAAGAATTTTGAACATCTGTTTGGATTCATCAGTTGAGTGAGCATTTATAAAATTAAAGGATTCTCTCTCGTCATTTGAAGGCCTATTTATTCCAGTATCCAAATATAACGAACTTCTCCTTGCATCTTTGTGATCCATTGAAAACACAACTGGACTTCAATGCTGAGCTTTAACTGCTACTCTTTAAAGTGGCTACATCTGAGGCCTGGTGCCTATTAATTACTCAACCAGGGAAAAGTATGGCTGAGCGCTCAACTGGTGTATCTTTCATAGACTATGCAAGAGAGACAGAATCAAAGGACTGGAAGGGATCTCAAGGGGTCATCCAGTCCCCTGCACTCATGGCAGGACTAAGTATTATCTAGACCAGGGGTTGGCAACTTACAGCATGTGTGCTGATTTTGAGTGGCATGCAGCTCTCTGCTGTGGTCCTGGCCCTCAGCCCACTGCTCTCCCCTGCGGGGGCAGGAGGCAGAAGCTTGGTCCTGGGGCAGCCAAGCTTCCCCCCTCCCCCGCTTCTTCCCCCAGTGTGGTGCTTTCCTGCCCCTCCTCCTCTCCGTCAGCTGATGGCCCTAGCAAGGGGGAGGGGGAAGAGCAACAGCGTGCACACAGCTCCATAGAGGAGGTAGGGACGGAGCCTGGGGGAAGGGGGTGGAACAGGGCATATCCCTTCCAGCCCCCTGCATGAGCTGCTCAGGGCAGGGGGCTGGGAGCACCCCCACGAGCCGAGCACCCCATCCCTCTGCCCTGACCCTTGAACCCCCCACACACACACACACCCCAGCCCTCTGCCCTGACCCCTGAAACACCCCCCCAGGTCTGGGGGTCCCGGCCATAGGCCCTGCTCAGCCCACGCTGGCCTAGGTGAACAAAACCCCAGGCTGGCAGCGAGCTGAGCAGGCTGGTGGTGTAAGATCAGCATTTTAATTTAATTGTAAATGACGCTTCTTAAACATTTTGAAAACCTTGTTTACTTTACATACAATAGTTTAGTTATATAATATAAACTTATAGAAAGAGACCTTCTAAAAACGTTAAAATGTATTACCAGCACGCAAAACCTTACATTAGAGTGAATAAATGAAGACTCGGCACACCACTTCTGAAAGGTTGCCGACCCCTGGGCTAGACCATCCCTGACAGGTGTTTGTCCAACCTGCTCTTAAAAATCTCCAGTGATGGAGATTCCACAACTTCCCTTAGCAAGTTATTCCAGTGCTTAAACTTCCTAACTGTCAGGGTGGTTTTCCTAATGTCCAACCTAAACCTCCCTAGCTGCAATTTAAGCCAATTGCTTCTTGTCCTGTCCTCAAGAGGTTAAGAAAAATGATTTTTTCCCCCCCTCCTTGTATGTAAAGCAGGGCCTCCTTTACATACATGAAAAGTGTTGAGTCCCCTCCATCTTCTCTTTTTCCAATCTTCTGAGGTTGTTTTCTAGTCCTTTAATCACACTTGTATGATAGTCATAATTTGTATTCTTTTGTATACAAGCTCGTGTGCTACTCATATCTATTTGACCCTGCCTCTGAATTTTTTGGTTTAATTCATGCACCGTGATAGTCACATTCCATAGTTTCACACTGTCCTTGAAAGTCTATTTATTCACATTTTATATGTCAGATAACACGACTTACATTGAAGCTCTCTTCCCGACCCTCTCCTACTGCATAGAAGCTCCTCCTTCATACTTCCACTGGTCTCCAGGAAGAATGTTAGGTTAAAAGTGTATTGTCTCTAAAAGATAAGTATATCCAGCATTCATGGTAGCTTGGTCACTTTGTTACCCTTCAAGGCCCCCTTGAATTGTGTGTGTGTTTTGTAAATGATGAAAACATGACAATGCTAAGGAGGAAGTACTTTAGTCGGGTGTATCATGGATACAAGTGACAAGGGGTAGGCCACACAGTTTCTGTGAGGAAGAAAAGATGAAAGTCTTAATCATTGAAATGGAATTGAGCCAATATTCATACAAGCTGCTGAAAGTGATTTCTTTAACCCCTACATCCTGCAACTCTCCAACTAGCCCATATTAGTCAAAATATCAGATTAGCCCTTAGGGTTAATTGGGGGAACATGCTACCTCTTATAGGCCTTGCAGGTTACACTTCAGTCCTGCAACCCTCTGGTACTGTAGGGGGATAGAAATGATGCATTTCAGAATGGCTTTGTCTGCCAGATTGAAAACAAGCTTATTCTAATACAGGTTCAGGAGTAAGGCTTCCCCATCTACTTAGCCTGACTGCTCCCCACATAGAGCAGAAAAGGCCTTGAGCTTCCTTTCAGGAAAGCAGCTTGCATTCCTAGCAACCTTTACTGTCTAGATTGTAGCTTTGCCCCTCCCAAGCAGCATGGTGACAACTGCAGGGACCTGCATGAACAAAATGGGCAACAGTTCTTGTGAAAGCACCTTTACTTCTGATTTTTCCTCTAAGACAGTTTTGCCCTCCTCCCCCCTTCATATGCACAGTTGGAGGGTCGCATTCAATGCCCGCCCCTAGAAGTGGAGGGGAGGGTGTTACCAGTCAGACTAAGCATCAGGCCAAGATTCTAATCGTGTGCCCCTCAGGCACACAATCACATGCTGCAGCTGGAATGAAAAGCTCATTACTGTACTTGTGAAAGGACAATATTAAATATTTTCAGAGGAGGTGGTGACTTCATGGAATAACTTTAAAAGGCAACCGTGACTCATACCCCTATGGATTTAGAAGAGTTCTTAACAGGGCAGGAATCTCTTGTTAATAGGTACACTCACTGTTAGCATCCCTAGACTTTCACCATTATGTGAGCCAGAAGTTTGGTTCCAGAGAGAGTATAAAACGCTAACCCTGCCCCCTAACAATTCATCCCAACCAATTGCCTTGTAAAACTGCAGAAGTACCTGAAGCCATGGCAGGCTGTAAAGGATTGTTATACATTTTCAGAAATGCTTCCGGACTCATAAATTCTTTTGCCTTGAACAAGTAGTTAATTGTTTCTGCTGGGATTAGAAGTTCTGGAACAAGGGTGTGTAGATTGTCACCCAGTCCCTTACTGCTCACCTGTGTGTGAAATAAAATAGTATTCAGTGCAGTTAGACTTTTATGTTACCCATGACATTCCTATCCCCCAACTAAGGGAATGTGCCAAAGGAAGCATATCTGATTTTATCTTCCCTATTTACAAGCGTTCTACTTGCTCTGTTTAGAACAATGGAGCAGACTGTGCTGGGTAACCAGAATTTAGAGGGTAATGAAATTTGTACCCTTTTCAGCTTGTTAATGCAGTAATGATGGACTGCAAAGGTGTAACCAGTGGCTGCACCAAATAAGCCAGTGTAGTTTGGAAGATAGAGGTTTGAAATAAAAGACGAGTGTGTTCTTCATTCCCCTCACTACACCATTCTAGAGTCAAAGGAGAAAGGCCGGTAGCAAGATGAGACTAAACCAGCACTTATTTGCATTTGTAAACTCAGAGTTTTGAAAAAAGGTTAATTTAGAATAGTAACTTAAACATTTATATTTTAATGTAAGTTTCACCTTGAAAGTCTTTGAAAGGTATGTTCCCAGTTTGAGGAGGAGCGTAAGACATTCAGTGACCACCTCTTCTGCAGACTGTGACTGTGTCACATCTTCTAGGTAGGTCACAGGCAGTGTCACCATTGTGACATACCACTGCAGGAAGAGCCTGGTAGGGATGTTGTGGGACACCACTAAAATCTTAATTTCCTGTAACAAAGCACTGAGTGAAGAAAGTTAGCTATAGTCTGAATTCCATCATTCTTATGTACAGATAAAAGGTTTCTGACCAGACATGGTGTATTTCATAAACTGGCAATGTTTGATTGCTTGCATCATATAGACCCTTGCTATTTTTAACTTTTTTTTTTTTAAACTTCCTGCCTATATTAGTGATCAGCTAGCTCCATTTTGGATCTAACTATTGATGTGGTGGTCTTATCCGACCACATCTTAAGAGTCTTATCTTGAAGAGTAATTATATCTTGTGGGGTGTGGTTTTGATTGGGAGAAGTTTATGCACCTGATGAGTCTGACGACACCAGCAGCCAATTACAAACTGAAAGCAAAGGCCTGAGATGTTTTCATTATGTTCGTACTGTCTCCTTTTCTGCATCTTGTGCTGGGGTGTACTCTCCACACTACCACTGCAAGAGCTGAATTAGGCCAGGTGGGCTCGATCAGCTAATTAAGCTGTGAATTGGGGATATTTAGCAGTGTGGAGGGAGCTAATTAGAAGGACACTCAATAGTGAGGGAACAGGCAGGGCTTCTATAAAGCCAGGAGGGCAGCAACTGTGTGGGGAGCAGCAGAGAGGAAGCCTGCAGCCCTGCTCCCTGAGGTAAAGGAGAAGGTGCATGGTGGGTGACAGCAGTAAAGTTGATGTGGACACACACCTTTATTGTTTGTTGAGGGTCATAGACTTGAACCCAGAGCAGCACGAGGCATTGAATGGCAAGACTGTGGGAGTGACCCAGTCAGGGCAGCGGGTGTGAGGACTGCATGACCCTGTTGGTGGCAAAAGACTTTGAAAGACCCCAACCCACTCCCCTGAAGAGGGAAAAACAGTGATCTGGGCGGAGGGCTGAGTCACCAAGCAGCCATGCTGCGACTCTGAGTGGGAGGAGAGCTGCACCAAGGAAAGAGAAGAAAGGGGGTGCTGAAGTAGGCAGAGCTAATTGCCAGCAGGAGGTGCCACCCAGTAGCTAGTAGGGCACACAAAGACATACCTAGATCTAAAAACCTGTTTTGTTCAAAGCAGAATTTGGAAACTGTACAGCTGTACAGCCAAATTAAATGCTAGGCATGGGCTCTCAGAGGGCAGGAGAACTGCTGAAGAACTAAAGTCCAAGGCAAATCAGAGCAATTTCAATGGAGGGGTTGGCCAACTTTCTTGGTACTCATTGCCACCTCTCCAGTTTTGTATGGGATACTGAAGAGGAGGAAAAGAGCCATTCCTCCTTGCAAAAGAAAGAGTCATGTGGCACCTGAAGAACAAGGAAGGATAAATAAGAGGAAAATATTTTTCACACTCAAATTAAAATGTAACCCAACCCATGGTCTCCAGGTGTTCAGCAGGGGGAGATACTAAGCTATTTCTCTATACTAATTATACTAAATGTTAGTTTTAACCCTAACACATTCATTGTCATTCCTGCATTAAAATTTACTTCCACATGAGCTGGTTTCTTTGAGCTCTTCTGAAACGCTTACCTAGAGCCTTGCTTCTGGAGAGAAGCTAGATCTTGGAGGATCTGATATAATGTGCCGCTGGAGGACTGCAAAGGAAAAAGGGGGGTTGTTACAAAGGTTCAATTTAAAAAAAAATGAATATAAAAATAACTGATCAGATGCTATTGGTGTATGATGAGCTGGATCATAGATGCTGAGGTGGGAGCACTGGAAAGTTCAAGTGCTCAGCCAGAGGTGGGGTGGGGGGCACTATTCCCTCTGGTACTGATGGACTCTACAGAGAATGTTGTCCTGCCTTCTTCACTCAGAATTGCAAATTGGGGGCACTACTTGAATAGATTGGAACAACATGGACAGTCCTAGAGACAACTGATTCTCGGTTAGTAACCCCACCAGTAGGGCTGTCGATTCATCACAGTTAACTCATGCGATTAATTGAAGTTTTAATCACACTGTTAAAACAACAGAATACCAATTGAAATTTATTAAATATTTTTGGATGTTTTCAATTACAACACAACACAAAGTGTACAGTGCTCACTTTATATTATTTTATTACAAATATATGCACTGTAAAAAAAATATTTTTCAGTTCATCTCATACAAGTACTGTAATGCAATATCTATCATGAAAGTTGAACTTACAAATGTAGAATTACGTACCAAAAAAACTGCATTCAAAAATAAAAATGTAAAACTTTAGAGCCTACAAGAGTGCCATGCAAATGTCTGTTCTCACTTTCAGGTGACATTGTAAACAAGAAGCGGGCAGCATTATCTCCCGTAAATGTAAACAAACTTGTCTTAGCGATTGACTGAAGAAGAAGTAGAACTGAGTGGACTTGTAGGCTCTAAAGTTTTACAGTTTTATTTTTTGAATGCAGTTCTGTAACAAAAAAAATCTACAGTTGTAAGCTGCACTTTCACGATAAAGAGATTGCATTACAGTACTTGTCTGAGATGAATTGAAAATATGATTTTTTATCATTTTTACAGTGCAAATATTTGTAATAAATAAAAAATAAATAAATGGCATTCTATTGTTTCAGTACGATTAATCACAATTAATTATTTTAATTGCTTGACAGCCCTAATTTTAAGGTTCTAGTCCTTTTCTTTAAAGCCTTAAATGAACTACACCCTTAGAGCCTGCTTTGCACTACATTAGCCAGGGTCGACAGGGATGGTTGGGCAGATAGAACCCGGGGTGTTTGCACAAGAATCCAGCTTTTGCTGTGGGAGGCCCAAGCTTACAGAATTTATTACTCAAGGAGCTTTACTTAACCTACCTCTAGTATATGAAGAATGGAGCTGGGATAGAGGAGAAGTAGACCTGAGACTGGTTCTCCTAGGTGGTATTTTAATATGTTCTGAAACAGTCTTTCATGGTAACCTTATTTAAAAAACACAAGATTGGCTGTCACATGGGAATACAGTGCACAACTTCAGAAAACTAGCATTTCACCTCACCCTATGCCATACTCACTACTGTCACAGGCCATCACTAACTAGGTGAATGAACTGACTCCTTAAATCTAAGAAACATTAAAAATAGTCATTGGCTTGGGAGTCTATTCTCTTCCTTTACGCACATGACCCAATTATGCAGGGAAGAAACAAGACTCCTAGATTTTTTTAAATTGGCTTTGCTCAAATATCATAGTCAGTAAAATTGGGGCCAGCTAATCAGATTGATTAGTGGCTAATATAATTAATATAAGATTTCAGCAATAGGCTTAATCTTAACATGATGCACCCAAAACTGTTGTACTTGGTGTATTAGCTGAGGCATGTAGCAAAGAGTGCCCAGAATTTCCCCTAACAATTGTTGCACTGAATGCTTAGCTCTGTCTTTGTTGTTGTGGTTGTTTTTTTAACTGTGCAGCACCCAAAGGCCATACGGGTTGGGAATGCTTTAGAAATAAATCTGTGGGAGTGTTACAAATGCACATGGATAAGAATCCTTGCCTCTGGCTTTTGGAGCTAAATGTGTAGCTGTTTGATAATGGCACCAATAACTACTGCATCCTCTATATAAATCCATGGTACGCCCACACCTTGAATACCGAGTGCAGATGTGGTCGTCCCATCTCAAAAAGGATATATTGGAATTGGAAAAGGTTCAGAAAAGGGCAACAAAAATTATTAGGGGGATGGAACGGCTTCCGTATGAGAAGAGATTAATATGACTGGGACTTTTCAGCTTGGAAAAGAGGCAACTAAGGGGGGATATGATAGAGGTATATAAAATCATGAGTGGTATAGAGAAAGTAAATAAGGAAGTGTTATTTACTCCTCATAATACAAGAACAAGGGGCCACCAAATGAAATTAATAGGTAGCAGGTTTAAAACAAACACAAGGAAGTATTTTTTCATGCAACGCACAGTCAACCTCTGGAACTCCTTGCCAGAGGGTGTTGTGAAGGCCTGTACTATAACGGGGTTCAAAAGGGAGCTAGATAGATTCATGGAGGATAGGTCCATCAATGGCTATTGGCCAGGATGGGCAGGGATGGTGTCCCTGGCCTCTGTTTGCCAGAAGCTGGGATTGGGTGACAGGGCATGGATCACTTGATGATAACCTGTTTGTTCATTCCCTTTGGGGCACCTGCCATTGGCCACTGTCAGAGGACAGGATACTGGGCTTGATGGACCTTTGGTCTGACCCAGTCTGGCCGTTCTTATGCTCATTCATCAAGGTATTCAATATACACTAATCATTTGGTTTAACAGAAACAGTCATAATTGAATGTAGGTCACAGAATCAGTCTCCTACTTTCAAAATAAAGATCTCCCCATTCCCTTCAGGGTTGCTTATTGATAGCTTGCCCGCCTTTGCTCCTGTATTTAGTACTAAGCAAGGACACTTGACAAGTGATAACTTTTTATTGCATTAGTATCTAACCAGATGGTAGGTTCATCTGTACTTCCACGCTGTAAATAGACTACTGCTTTATTGCCAGTCCATTATCTGTAGGTTGCGTACCCTTTGTATTAAACATTTGCTGTAACCGCGTAGCGGCTACAGCTTAGGACGGATGCTTAACAAAAAAATTTGAAAGAAAAAGGAAGAAAAAATAAAACGTCAGGTATGGAAGTAGACCTGCTCAATAGGGTGATCAGGCTGACATCTAGGGGCTGTCCCTGACCATAGCAGCATAAATTTTCAACTGTTACACCAATGTGAATGCATCACAGTAACTGCTACTTTCCATATTTTATTTGAGTTCATGCCAAGTCTGATCTCCTTGAGGACAAAGCCAGCTCCCTCTGGTGTGTAACTGAAAAATCACCACTTACTGTAAAGGTAGAGAAGAAATGATTTAATGAATCACCGAAACCAGTCCCACGGTGTGATAGCAGAAGGAAACGTCAACTACTTTCACACACTTCTTCTCCAGTTTGGGTTACGAAGTAATCTGTGTGTTGAGGTTGGTTTTTTTTAACTGTTTGTATTTATCGCTTGTCATACCAAACAAAAAGGGTATGTTGAAAGGCTGCTGTCTTTTTTTAACATATACTGCAGTCATCCCTGCCCCCTCTGCATACACGTTGCATTGGATTTAAATCCAAGTGGTGCTGCTTAATTCACAATACTTAGTTCCTTTGTTCGCAAAATAAAGTGAGGCCACGGTGCTCATCTTTTTCTTGTTGGGGATGAAGCTGTGAAAACAATGGATTCAGGTCCTCTTCAGCCATGACACTGGTGTATGGCTGACAATAACAGACATGGCACTGAGAGTTTGTGGACTTAGGAAGAAAGGGCTGTGAAGGTGGGAAACAGGTAACAGCACTTTAAAAGTATGTCTTTTATCTGATATCACAGGTTTGCTCTAGGTGTTAGGGGACAGGTATGAAGAATTTATCATTTATAATACTGGCATAAATGAGAAATGTATTTGTACAGCAAGCTTTGTTCTACCAGCCTCTAATTACTTCATCAGTGAATAAACCTCGTCGTGGTGGTCATATAACTGATTCCTTTCAGCATCAGCAACATATCTGGACTTACCTTAAAGGCAGTTTAGCTTTATTATAGGATCCAAAGAGACTGGTGTATTCTCCCATGCCAGGTCTGAAGTGGTGGTTATTTAAGTATACATTTGTTTGTCATTAAAGCTGTATTGGGAACTCTATCCTCACTTTTTAAATGAGCTATACAGAATCCAGGAGAGCAGCTGTTTCTGCTGGGTAGCCCTGAAATTTCTCTGCTACTCCTCACCTACAGAGTCTGCATCCCCAAGGCAAGTATCTTACAAGTTAAAATAGTCAAAAGGCAGATTGATGAAAAGATATTATTGTACCTGTAATGTCTCGCCTGTCTGCTCTTTCTGATAGCTTGGCAACAAAAAATAACCTGTGCAGCAGGAACTTCTAGCCAGGAAAGAAAACCAGATGTGTTTACATAAAAGCTGTTGTTCCCTGGCACTGATCGCTTTTAACTGTGTACTATGAGACATTCCCGTGGAACACTCAAGTATTTGAGCATTTCATAAACATTGATGGAGTTAGCCTAACAACTACATTGTAAAGAAGGGAAAGAAGTAACATGTCCATGGTCACACAGCAAAGGTGGGGAAGAGGTGGGAACAGAAAGGAATCCAGACTCTTTAGGGGCTGATTCACCACGGTCTTGCAACTTATTTGTATTACCATCCTACCTAGGAACCCTCATGCAGTCACTTATCCCTGTGCAAGATGGGTGCAATCCACTGCTGGTCTGGCCTGGTGGCATTGTACACTGTCTTGCATAGGGGTAAATGACTGCACACGGTCATAAAATGGAGAGAATCAGGCTCTTTCTCCCATTTGGCTAAATGATTCAGTTTCAGAAAACTGTGTCTGGGGGAGCAAAATGGCATTGCAAAGAAAGAGACCTAGCAATAGCTGGTGCATGAATTTATGAATCTAGCATCTCTCTGCAAAACTTACTGGTCCTCACTCGGAGACCCCAAGTGGTGACTCCAGCCCCCACCAAGGCTCACAGGCACCATGGAGGAGTGAGTTAGAAATGAGCTGGGCCTTTTTTCTGTACCATGCAGCAGGGAGTCAAGGGCCTGGCTGGGCGTGGTGCCAGCCAACAGGCTCCAGCGAAGAGGGTGTGGATCAGAGCAGAGAACCATGGCTTGAGGATGTAAGGTGGTCTATGGGCCCCATGTGTGGGTGCGGGGGGACAAGCCTGAGTGCAGGGATGGAGCTCGAGAGGGGTGCAGGGACGGGCCACTGCCTCTGGGGCAACAGCTGGCCAGCTTCCTCTGACAAAAACAGCAGTAGCTGGAGGACAGCCCCCCAGCCTCCTGTACCACCACCCGGCCTTCCCCCCAGCCTCCTCCAGCCCTGCACCTCTCTTCCCCTCCTCCACCCCCCCATTGCCCAATCTACTCCAGCTCCCCGCCTCTCTCCCTCTCCCCCAGCCACCCACCTCTCTCCCACTCCTCCACCCCCCATTGCCCAACACCCCACCCCCACATTCCCCAATCTACTCCAGCCCCCCACCTCTCTCCCCCTCCCCCAGCCCCCCACCTCTCTCCCCCTCCCCCCCAGCCTCCTCCAACTGCCCACCTCTCTCCCCCTCCCCCAGCCCCCCACCTCTCTCAGCCTCCTCCAACTGCCCCCAGCCTCCTCCCCCTCCTCCACACCCCC